CCCTACAGGGCAAGGTTAAATGGAGGAGTCCAGCACTGTGCAGCCTACACGCATTGTTTCTGAGACCCTTTTGGTAGAGGTAATTACCCTCCTGCCTACAAAAGCCACCCTGGACGCGGGGACACCTCGAGCACCTCCAGGCAGAGCTGACAAAACCTGAAACTCTTCCACAAGGCAAAAAGCAAGCAACGCGCAGGGAATAAGCAGAGGTCACTCTGGGCTACAGGATCCAGCCTGTAGTTCAAGGTTACCCAGTGCTGCCCCAGCTCACAGCCCCTGTGGACAGGCAGGGAGCCGGGTGGGGTTTGTTGCTGGTTTTAGGGGGTGCAGAGCTCTCTCCTGAAGTGGGGCTCTTGCTGGGCTGTAGAGCAGGGGGTGCAGACGGCTCCACAAGACGCTTTTTCTTTCCTGTTTTTGCCTCCAACACTAAGGCTTCAAGCCCAAAATAAAAGCAGTATCCAGGGGCTATTTGGAGGCAATAACAGCACGACCTAGCCAGAGGTAGGCTGCACTCAGTAACTGTGATAAAGCAGTTACAGCCTCACTGTATGTCTGCTTAAATCAGCAGCAATCATCCCATAACTCCAACAGGGGAACTGAAACCATAAGCATAGACAGACCTTTTCTTTAGCTTTTTCTTTCCTGTTTTTGCCTCCAACACTAAGGCTTCAAGCCCAAAATAAAAGCAGTATCCAGGGGCTATTTGGAGGCAATAACAGCACGACCTAGCCAGAGGTAGGCTGCACTCAGTAACTGTGATAAAGCAGTTACAGCCTCACTGTATGTCTGCTTAAATCAGCAGACATTTTCTTTATTATTATTCAATAAACACTGAGTTGCTTCAACTAGGTATTTAAATTCCATGCCTCTAGCCCAGTACCTGCAAGTCCTCTTCATCAAGCTTCCTCCCTTTTGGCATCATGGAGAAATAGAATACAGTGTGTAGGATTTAAAAGTTGGAAATCAGTAAAATCAGAAAGCAGAAATACAGAACTATCAGCAAAACACTGTCTGGAACAGACATGGGGGTCTCCAGCCCACCCTCCCTCTTGGAGCAGGACCACCTTGGAGCAGGTGCAGGCCCAGGAGCCATGGGATGGTCTGGCCACAGCCTGAACACCTCCGAGGATGGAGGTCCCACCATCCCATAGCATGGTCTGACCACGACCTGAAAACCTCCAAGGATGGAGGTTCCACCACCTCTTTGGTGCTCCCATGCCGCACAACCCTCCCAGTGAAGGAATTACTTTGAACATTTCCTGTCCAAGTGCCCAAAAGCCAAAGTGTCGCTGTGTTATGCCTTTAACAAAACAAGAAAAGGAGACTCGGACAAAGAACAATAAATCAATGTTGGAATTGTTATAGAAGTTGATATTCTTCTAGAGCTGGTAAAACCCTGAGAAAGAAGGAGCAGCTGCAATAAACTGG